TATTGTTTGTTTGTCCCAAATAAACTGTCAGCCGTATATCATTGTGTAAGTCTCTTACATCATTGATTACATGGTGGACTTTCATCATATGTTGCTGAATTACCTGGCGAAAAATCTAATGATACTCATCTCGTTCTTGATTATAAATCATAATTTTGGTCATCTTTTCTTTTCTGTTATTGAAGGGTCCCACAACATTGGGATTGCTATGGCTACTCCATATGGTTTGGTTGTACCAAACATAAAGAAGGTTCAATCTCTTTCCATCTTGGAGGTGAGTTCTAATTTCAATTTCATGCTTTATTTTTATTTATTTATTTATTTTGAATAGTTTACAATTTTGAAATTAGTCCTGTTTCATTTTTGCATCTCTTCTGTTGAAATTTGTAAAATTCGTGTTCTTGATGTTTGATTTATTTCTTCAGATTACGAAAGAACTGTCTCGACTACAGAAATTGGCTTTAGCTAACAAGCTTAATCCTGATGATATATCCGATGGAACTATTACTTTAAGCAATATTGGTGCAATTGGTGGAAAATTCGGTTCCCCTCTTATCAATGTGCCTGAAGTTTCCATCATAGCGCTTGGACGAATACAGAAAATTCCTCAATTTTCTGAAGACGGAAGTGTTTATCCTGCGTCCATTATGACTGTAAGTAGACCAATTTCACCCAAGTAAATGCACCTTACCCCTAACTGTTTTTCTTGAATTTGAATTAAATCATTGGCTGTCTTTGCGTTTCTTAAATTCTGCTCTCAGATTCAACTCTTTATTTGATTTGCGTGCACGTCATTGTGCAATTTGCTCAGAAGTCAGAACATTTTGGATATTGTTTCGTAGGGAGGATTGAATAGCGGTTACAATATTAAGAATTAAGAAAGAACTAGAAGCTAAAATTGTGTTCGTTACATTGTTCAATCATGTCAAGTCTTGCGTACCAAACACACTTTAGTCGTACTGACTATTTTGGTCTCCTAATGCGATGCGAGTACCTGATTACAAAGTATATCACGTACACTAGTAAACTTAACATACATTTGAACCTCAATTTGCAAGAAGAGTAGCCCAACTTGGACATGTAAGTCGCCGAAGTAGGTTAAATTTCCTCAGGAACCTGATCCTGTTTTTGTCCCATTCGTTCGCAAAACATGTTCTCTGTTTCTATGATGCAAATTTGTATTTGACATGCACGTATGTATGCAAACATGTACATATATGTATTGGTAGCTAATGAACATTCAAATAGTGAGGATAGCTGTTTTTAGTGCAAGATATGTGAAATCTTGTTGAGTACTGCTGTCATGACTTATATCAGTACTATGATTTATAGCTTGGTTGACCTGAAAATTTCTGTCGCAGGTGAATATTGGTGCTGATCATAGAGTTCTGGACGGAGCAACTGTTGCTCGGTTCTGTAATGAGTGGAAGCTATTCATTGAAAAACCAGAGCTCTTGATGTTGCGTATGAAATGACTGATTCAGATTTTCACCATTCAGCCAGTTGCATTTTGGAGCTTATATAGATGATGCTGAAATCTACAAACCATTAAATACATGTTCTTGGCATTTGAACACATGGTGTAATAAAATGCATAATTTTTTTTTTTTTTAAATTATTGAAATACACACATCTTGAGGTTGTATAAAGTAGACATTGCAATGATCAATGAAGATAAAAAATAAAAAAAAAAAAAAAAAATGCAAGAACCATTCCTATTGAGTAATCATTTAATATTTGACATGTTTCGACTCAACTTCAAAATAAGAAGTTTGCCACTGTACTGTTCAATGATGCACTAGCAGGCAGTGGTGTCAATCTGTCTGGTTTCGTCCGATGGAGCATGGTTTACAGTACTATACATTTTGATACCATATTGGAGTGAAAGTGGCGCAGGACCCCCCTCACCGGCCCCTCACAATGGTGGGGGCCAAAAAATGCAAGAACCATTCCTATTGAGTAATCATTTAATATTTGACATGTTTCGACTCAACTTCAAAATAAGAAGTTTGCCACTGTACTGTTCAATGATGCACTAGCAGGCAGTGGTGTCAATCTGTCTGGTTTCGTCCGACCGAGCCTGGTTTACGGTACTATATATACTTTTTAACAATGTTTTAAAACAGGTGCGAGGCGCAAGGGAATGCTTTACCTTGAGAGTAAGTACGAATTAAGCGATTAATTGTTGATCGCTTAATGCTTATTTATATGACCTTTATTAAATTTTTTTTTCATTTTTTTCAAAAAACTTTTATTTGACTAAATTTTTCAATTTTTTTTTAAAAGACTTGTATTTGACTTTAGTTTCAAATTGTTAAATAATTTTATCCGTATCTAAGTAAAAAAATGACTTTGTTCAATAAAGATTTAGATATGATTTAAGCTACGGTATTATCAATGTTATGTAGTTAAGATTTCGAGACTCATAATATTTTTGAAAATTTTGAAAGTATATACGAAATTCTTATAAATCTGTTAAGTAGAATTTGTGTAGTTGAAATTATGAAAAATAATCCAACTTTTGCATTTCAAAAACTTGAAAATTGTATAATTGGCTAATTGTAGAATTTATTAAGTAAATATAATATTTTATAATTTTAGATGTTTCGTGTGTATTATTTTAATTATTAAATAATTTTTAGAATGATTAAGTATTTAAAATAATAATAAAAATAAGTAACACTTTTTTACATTTAGGCATCGCTTAAACTCGTAAAGCTTGAAACTTGTTCTATACATCTAAATACGCTTTATACTTTTTAGAACAATGTTTTTTAAAAGTCAGGTTCACAACTTGTTAGTTTCATTTGCACTTTCATCCCAACTTTTTTTCTAAGCTATTTTGTTCTCAACTGTGAAAAATAGGCGGTGTTCGTCCAAATGGGTGAATATCAACCATTTTTTTAGTCAATCAAACTAACCTATGCATTCAAAAATTTAAAGAGCAAAATTGTCATTTAATGTTTTTAGTTAAAATATTAACAGATACGAAAAATTGACCAAAAAAAAAGAAAAAAGAAAATATTAAATAAAAGGTCATCCTCTTCCACTAACTCCACACGACCAAAATATATGTCACATATCAATAATTCAAAGTCACAAGGAAAAATAAAATCTATGGGAATGACCTTTTGTTTGCTCACATTGTGAAATGTCTGCAGGTCACACACCACATGTATGACTACCCAATCGAAAATTTCCGTTGTGAAATCTTACTCATATAGTCACCCATATTGAAATTTGGAATTCATTTTCAGAGGGAATTACACAAAACCAAATTTTTAAAGTTTTAATTTCAAATTTCAAATATAAATTTTATTTATACAAAAATCAGATATTAATTCATCTATTTTATCTATCTCCTCTCTAAATCATAATTGTCCAAACCTAACCCTAATTTTATCATTCCCTACTCTCTCTCTCTCTCTCTCTCTCAACTAAATCCACCATCGATGTGACACTCATGACTTCGCAGTCACAGTAGCGTCCCTCTGAAAGCTAGTGGCTCCGTTTGCGCATCGACGATGCAGTAGCGGTGTCGCTTGACGGTGTTGCAAAGTGACATCGCCTCTTGGAGCGGCGACATCGCCTCTTAGAATGACGTCGCTCGACGGTGTTGCGAAGTAACGATGGCGTCGTCTACGCTCATCATCGCTGCAACAACGACGTTGCCATTGGTGGTGTTTGTGATGACTTTTCAGTGTTTTTGTGGTGTGGTGGTGTTTTGCAGTTGGTGGTATTTGTGTCTAGGAGGTGATGTGGTTGTTGTGGTGGGTTGTGTATGGTGGTGCTGTGGTTGATTTAGCGGTGATGTCGGCGGCGGATTTAGTGTCGACAGCAGAGTTGAAATTTTTTTTGGTGAGGGTGGTTGTTTTGGAGTGGTAGGCTGGTGGTGTTGGTTGCAGTGTTTGAGATAATGGTTTTGCTGCCGAGAGGTGTGGTTGTTATGGCGACGGCGGTGCAGTGACTAGACGGTGTTGGTGTTGAGATGTTGGTGGCGACGGGTCTGTCGAGGTGGTGGTGGATCGATGCGACGACGTCTTTGTGTTTTCCGCGATGTGGTGTTAGGTGGTGGTGGTTCTGGCGACGATGGCGGTAGTGATGCTGCCAGAGGGAGTGGTGCGATGGTGGTCACAAGTGTTGGTTCACAAATTATTTTGTTGATTGTCACCATTAAATTGGTTAATCTGTGACCAATGAAAAAGATAAAATGTGACCAAAAAAATGTGTGACCTAAAAAACTATTAATTTGTGATCGATAATTTGACAATTTGTGACTGTTTACTAAGTTGTGACTTATAATATTTGTGTTTTTTGACGTTTCAATTTTGATTTGACACCTATGCAATTTTTGAATTGTGACCGTAAAATAATTTGACATGTAAAATTTATGATTTGTGACTAATGAATAATATGTGACTTATTAATTTGATAGATTTGTGACCGATGAATAAATTGTGACGTATAAATTTTTTATTTGTGACCGATAAACAAATTGTGACTTATAAATTTTTTAAATTATGACTGTAAAATAATTTGTGACAGATAAAATTTGTGATTTGTGATCAATGAATAATATGTGACTTATTAATTTGATAGATTTGTGACCGATGAATAAATTGTGACGTATAAATGTTTGATTTGTGACCGACGAACAAATTGTGACCTAAAACATTTTTGAATTGTGACCATAAAATAATTAGTTGTGACTTATATAATATTTGTGATTAGTGACCTATGAATAAATTGTGTGTTTTCAATTTTTGATTTGTGACCGATGAACAAATTGTGACCTATAAAATTTTTGAATTGTGATCGTAAAATAATTTGTGACATAAAATTTGTGATTTGTGACCAATGAATAATACGTGACTTATTAATTTGATAGATTTGTGATCGATGAATAAATTGTGACTTATAAATTTTTGATTTGTGACCAAAGAACATATTGTGACTTATAAATTTTTTGAATTGTGACCGTAAAATAATTTGTGAGATATAAAATTTGTGATTTGTGATCAATGAATAGCATGTGACTTATTAATTTGATAGATTTGTGATCGATAAATAAATTATTATGCATAAATTTTTGATTATTGATCGATGAACAAATTGTGATTTATAAAATATTTAAATTGTGACCGTAAATTAATTTGTGACATATAAAATTTGTAATTTGTGACAAATTATATGGAATTTGTGACCAAATTATATGGAATTGTGACTTTAATATATTTAATAAATAAAATATATGTTTAATTAATTAATTTATAAATAAAATTTTAAAAAATATGAGATTTGAAATTTTAAACTTTAAAAAATCTGAATTTTGTAATTTTGAACCTTATCTCTTAAATTTTAAATTGGTAAAACTAAACCTCCTAGTTATAAAATCTTCCTTTTTCATTAACTATAATCTCACAAATAACATCAACAATCATACCCAATTATGTACGTCCGTGCAAATTATATAGAAGAACACTCAAAAGTCGTATTGCAATAAATATTGCTAAATTTCCCTTGTACAAGTTGGAAATAGTGAAATATTTGGAATGGATTCTTTGAAATGCAAAAATGAGCCAAATTAAAAAAAATCATAAATACCGAAGTAACCAATTGCCCCTGATTGTATTTCAGCAAAAACCAACAGTTGTTTATGTTGATCCCAGAAAATGAGCCAACAGATGCTGGGCCCACTCACGCCAAGTTAAATACGATTCCAGCGCGTTCATACCAGAATAACGGCGGTAGCAAGGAGGAATTGGACGAGAGAGGTACTTTGCGGCGAAAGTCAAAACTGTTCAAATTCCGGCGGGTGAAACAAAAGCAATCGTTCAAGTATCCATTTCTAATATATGATTGTCCAAATTCCAATCAATAATCCAACCCCCTTTTTCAGTTACAAAAAGAACCAATTTATACTGCCTTGGTCGACGTGATGACCGTTGGATCAAAACTACGTGGCCTCATTTTCCTAATTGTGGCTTCACATAACTGTCTATTCATAATTTAATACATTGATAAAGGGTCAGCAACCCTATACAATAGACTGACATACTGACAAACTTTATTAAAAGTGTTCACTTCTAAGGAATCCCAAATCTATTGCAACAGACACGTCGGCTTCATGGGCTTCGAATGAGTTTAGAGACTCGGAGAGATCTTTGAGGCGGTTCTCTGAGTGGAGAGTTTCAGCTCTTTTATTTGTTTTCTTAGGCGGTGTTTCAGCCTAAGGTGGAGTGCTTCGTCCTTGAGGCAGTGCTTCTGCATGGACTTTGGTTTGTAGTGCAAGGACTTCGGTTCTGCTTGATTTCTTCATATTTTGATCTCATTGGTCTTTATTTTGACTTTCTCGTTGACTTTCTGTCTGCGTGGCTTGTTACGTAGCATTTTTACTTTGAGTCTCGAAGGCGAGGCGCAATAGTTTAAACCAAGATTTGAAGCCCTTAGCTATAACTATTCACAAGAAGTTTGATAATCCAATATTCAACAAAATTAGATAAGATTTTAACTCTCATCGCATCTAGTAAAATCGATCATCCACCTAAGTGTAGCTATCTGATCATTTATCACACATGGAACATAGTAAAATGAGTAACTGGTTTCTTTTAAAAGAAATCCCCGTTGAGAACTTGAGCGTACCATTAGATTTCGGTCTCAACACACTTTCCAAAATCTTCATCTCTTTCATACTGTTCAATAACGCAATCAAACCCTACAGTTTTCATATTGCAATGTGATCAATGATAAGTGCGATTTACATGTTTATGTAGACTCTTATAGTTAATACAAATTAATTAATTTGAGTTGATTTCTACTCATATTAGTGTATACTTTGCTTTTTTACGTAAAAACACCAATTTGGAGATGAATTAAGCAAAAGGAGGAGATTTGAAACTTAAATTGGACCAAAGGATGGAATTGCATGATTGATGGGAAGTACGACGACTTGATTAGAAGACTTGAACGTTTCATTGGAAGATCTCATAAATTTTAGGAACAAAATGAACACTTAAAATGTTTGAGGATCAAAGTTGAAGAAGTCGGAAGATAGGGACCAACTTGGACATTGTTCGAAGTTTAAGGACTAAAAGGGACAATTCTAAATAAAACATTTCAAGACTTGTTCAAAACGAACTTTGATTCCTATTCCCTATAAGGATCTTGCTACATGTACATAAAAATTTAAATAATGGATTACATAATACCATATGACATTCTACCATTTGTGAGTTTAAAACACAATTAACTTTTTCATTCACATCATATTACGTAATCCATTATGTACATTTTTTTATAAATAGTAAGATTAACCCATTGAATCATTGGAGTCGTTATCCTCACTTCAGCTTTACATTTTAATCAAATAAACAAGATATAGACTTCATACACAAAATACGAAACAAATGGGAAGCGGAAACCTAAGCACGAGCCACTAATACAAAACTCGACTTCAAGCCTGTTCACAAAATATTAGCACCAAAAGCTTAAAGATTTCGACTCCCGGCTTGACTATAATTTCCAAAAAGCTCAAGTATAAGCTCAAAATGTCCTCATGGATATTATGGCAAGATGACAAGGTACTGATCTTTATTACAAACCAACCTCTAGTTTTAATAATTATTAGCACAGATAAGCAGGCACATGAGATTAAAGAAAGTCATCCCAAATACAAGAGGGTTTAGAACTGCTTAATAAAATCATAAATGTGTTGACTGATCTCATCTGGTTTTTCTTGGTTAGTAAAGTGTGCTGCACCTTCAATCACGATAGTTTCCTTCAACAATGGCACAACTTTCTGGAACCCACCTTCATGTATGAATTCTTTGATCCCTGGTACATGATAGGTCAGGTCAAGTTCCCCAACGATGAACTTCGCCGGCACTTTCACCTGAGCCCCAGACCACGGGGCATTCAGTTCCCAGCTCCTGCAATTCATATTTAGAACTGTCAATTCAGAACATATCACTGAATTCAGCTTCAAGACAACACAGTGTATGTAAGAACTTTCGTGAAATCAAGAATGGATTTACTCTGAACTTCGAGTTTAAAATTGTCAAAACAGTCCAACTGTGTAAACATCTGAAAATTTGAATAATGACAACAGGGTGTGGGAATTTTCCGATGTTTCTTTGCGACTTTGATCCAGATCTATAGAACAACATATGGAGGCGGCATAGGAGATGTCTAGAGGCCAATTACCTGTCTAAAGCGCGGTAAAAATTCACTCCTCCAGAGAATCCAGTCTGCTCAAACTTTTTTGCGTAGTAGTCCAAATCGTCTTCTGATAACCAAGTTGGCTTATCAGCAGAATAGCCAAAGCCTTTACCTTTGGGAAAATAAAATGGTCCAGGAGTGCGGAATGCAAGAAAGTTCTTGAGAACTTCTTTGGTGCCAATCTTCGCAAATTCAGCTTCTATTTCCCCAGGTTCCTGAAACATTGTCAACCAACATTCCTGTCAGTTTGATTATCCAAGATAAAATTCATTTCTTGTAAAGAAAAGGCTACATCAAGTACCAGACCCATGATTTGAATCATTCACCTATGTCATTCTTACATCGAAGCTCCACGAGGCAAAACATGGCTCAACTACGAATAACATATGCTTGATTCCCTAAATTTTTCTTCTTAACTTTCACTACGTACCCATTAAACTGCCGCTGTCATTATATACTATTCATCTATTGATTTGGTGCAGAATTCAAGCAGACGTTAAGAATTTCAAAGATTATTATAGTATACAGTACAAAGTAGGACTTGATAAATTCCAAGGAGATGATGAGATTCTGAACTAATTGAATCAATAATTTCATCAATCAATCAAAATAATCCAAATGATTTACCTCCACAAATTTTCTAATACCTTTTTGCCAGGTTCAAATTCTTCTTGAAAATCTGACATAATCAGAACCATACAGGGCCTTAAATAAAGGGTATCAATAAACATAAAATGGATACAAATTTCTTCACGCCCTATATCTCTTTCTCAGGTTTCTGTAAATCAAGTATAATTGCCTGTTCACCATCATCAAATTAATTCCTCATTATCTTGCTTAATTTGAGTGTGAAATCCCAAATGATTCACAAAGAAACATCATAAACACAAATTGTGGGAAGGGAATAAAGATTTCATACTCAAAATCAATGTGATGTTCCCCCAGTTGGAAGAACCCACTTAGAACTCAGCCTTAAAACCAGTGTGTTCACAAGGCTGACTTTCTAATTTCTATGTATGACATGGGATGGGGAAAAAAGGAGGACTCAAAAGTAGTCGTTCCAAGCTCACAAACAAATCTTAAGCATAAATTGTGAGAGAAAATAAAGATTCAATACTCAAAATCAAGATTGATGTCTCTCTCTCTCTCTCAGATAATTCACACACAAGACAGACTTTCCACGAGCTGACATGGGAATTAGAGTCAGTCGTTCCACACACACGCCAGTTTGCAGAATAAAGTACCTGAAATCTGCAAATATAGTGGTCATCTCCATACAGACTGCGAAAATGGTTAACAGGACTCATTTTTGGACTTCTTGAAGTAAAAGCAACACTCAAATTTACCAAAGCCTTCACCTTGTCAGGCCTGTACAAGCACAAGTGCCAGGCCATGTAAGCACCCCAGTCATGCCCAACAACAAAAACCTTATCTGCTTCAGGCGCAATGGCATCAAGCAGAGCAATCAGATCACCCACTATGTGAAGACTAGTGAATTTTGATGGGTCCTCAACTGGTGCACCTGTGGTGTCACCATAACCCCTCAAGTCTGGCGCCACAGCCCTGTATCCTTGAGCCGCCAGGTACAGAATTTGGTGCCGCCATGAGTACCAAAGCTCCGGGAAGCCATGTAGGAAAAGGACTAATGGACCCTCACCAAGCTCGGCTACGTGCATATTCAGGCCATTAACTGGTACGATCTTGTGCTCTATTTTTTCCATCTTCTCTGTCTCTATCTCTGCTTGTGGGTATAAATGATTATTAATGGGAACAAAAACTACAAGAATTGGTGCATTTAATCTCGTCCAAAGATTCAACTTCTAAAGAAGAGATCAGAAACAATCATGTTATGGTGACATGTGCTCTGACAGTCTGACATAACGTAAAATCTCCATAATTTAAGAGTTTGTTTGTCTCCCATTATGTGAGAATGAATGATGTTTTGAATAGTATTTTTTGGAGAATGTATGATTAAAATTGAAAGAAATTTTATTGGTTTATGTGTAGAATAATTATTTGAATGTGTGGTGGAGATTGATTACTGTAGAAAACAATGTTTTGAAAAATAGTAGACAAACAGGGGCTAAAATCAGCAATGATACAAGTACAGCACTTGGATTACAACAATTAATCGTGGGCTCCATCTCCTTGTGAGAGATTGGCATCCATTATCATAATTCAAAGTTGTACAATGAGAATTATTCAATTAAAATACAATAATTTTTTTATCCCATCACCTACCACCACGTACAAATCTACAATTTTTTTTGTCATTTTCCTTTTGACAAAATAAGTGCTTGTTTGGTAGAGATTTTTGATGGAAGAATTGATTTTTGAATAGTGATATGATGAGAAATGTGTGATTGAAAAAGAAGAAAATATTATTGATGTGATGAAAAATATTATTTTATTTTATTGAAAAATGTGTCGTTGAAAATAAGAATTGATTTGAGAATCAATTCTCAAATAAAAAACAAACACCCCTAAATTAGTCCAAATTAAAGAAGTAAAATGGGATTGGCCTTCTAAAGCACATGGGGACTACCCCTGCCATATGGAGATAAACAGGGTCAATTGGTCCCCGTACAAGTAGCAAAACTGAAGTAAAATTATACCCCACCTATTACTGAGGGTCAGTTGGCCATTGTCCTCGTTAGTTCAGCATTATTCCAAGGCCGTGTTTGATTGGCCAGACTTTTCAGGGAACTAAGAAAATATCAACTTTTTACTTTTTTGACTGTTTGATAGGCGAAATTTTCCACCTTACCCCCACAAGTGTGCATTTTACGGGTAATTGATGAAAATTTTTCAGGCTGGCTGCAATTTTTTTTTTGTAAAGGAAACAAATGTCATATTCAATGGTAAAAAATTTCACTTTAATGGACAATTTTTATGTAAAACAAAATCAAACGAATACTAAACTTTGATTAAAAAAAATAATTTTGTAGGAACTTTTTTTTTATTTTTTTATTTTTTTACTTTTTGACAATGAAAGCAAATTTTATAACCAATTATGGAAAAAATTATT